GCTGCGGATAAGGAAAGAGGCTGTTCAGAAAAATCAGCAGGTTTAGAATTTCCTAAAAAGCTGATAAGATGGTTAAAAAATAGTAAATCCCAGGGTATGGCCTGGCTATTTCTTATATAAAGTGAATCTGTGTGTTCTCAGAGTAATAGAGAGAGTTCTTCTATCCGTGCCTTCCCGGAAAAGGAAATAATAGAGTGGGATTAGCTCCGGGAAAGTGTCAGCCTTCCCTTCCTCTCCAGATAAGCCGGAGCAGCACAGCCCATCCAGCAACCTGGGCAGACGGGGTCTGTCACCCAACCACCCCAGACCCCACCAGTGGGTGCCCCGCAGCCCTTCCCCTCCATTCCCTTATTCTGTGCACATCACTCCTCTTTCCTCCAAACCAGAGTGGAGCCCTTTTGGGTTCACACAGACAAAAAACAGGGGTGACTTTGGTCCTTTTCTTTTCTAGGCAGTGTTAACAATTCAGCAGCCCAAAGAATTTGTCTTGCAATCCCCTTTGTGGCTCAGCTTTCATTTCTCTGTTCAAGCAGCATGAATGAACCGAAGCCTTTATTTGCATTCTCTCCAAATTGCCCTCCACCGCTAGCTTGAGACCTTTGGAAGTTTGTTGCAAGAGTAACGGAGCCAAGATATTTTAGCCGGGCATGATGCCCCACCGCTACCGCAAAAAATCGCTTCAAAGCAACTGCTGAGTCAGAATAAAGGGGGTTGGATGTATTTTGCTTCCCAAAGATCACAATGCAAAGCTGGTCAGGAGGGGGAGTGGGGAGGGAGGTCAATGGATGCAGCATTCCCTGTCCCTGAGTCACTTCTCCTGCAGGAATTCGTAAGATCCAGCATCTCCCAAGGATGTCTGAGAGCCGGGAATGGCCTGGGTGAGTGCAAGGGGGTTTTGAGGAGGGGGTTATAAAGAAATCCCACCCTGCACCACAGTTAAGGTCACCCTGAGCTGTTGCCCATCTTCAGGTTTGGGTGGGGTAGGGGGCTAAGGTTGCCCACCCTGGCACAGTGAGGGGTCAACGAGCCAGCAACGTGATGTTTGCAAGCTGAGGAGCTGTGTGCTCCAGTGTGGGAAGTGCCTTCAGGCTTCTTCCTTCCCTGGGGTCCCAGAGAAAAGGGGAGAAAGTACTTTTGTTCTCCTTTGACCTTCACTTTGCTGCAGCTTTATAATTTATAATTTTTTAAAAATTTTTTTTCTGCAGATTTTAAGTTGATGCTCCTCCTGGAGAGCGGTGTGTCTCACCATACATTGTACACCTCCAGGACATCTCTTACTCTGGGGAGGAAGGGTGCAACAGCAGCTGCATGTGCTCTGCAGAGAGCTCAGACTGCCTGGGTCCCCAAAGCAGATGTGGGGCCATCCCTCCCTCCCTGACCCTAAGTGGTCACCACTCCCTCCTCATCCCTTTTCCACCAAGGGACCTCCTGTCTCCTCTTCCCAGGAGGCACAAAGGCAGGGGAATGATGAGGAATGACCATCACAACCCTTTTCTGCTCTTCATCCTTCTCTCTTCTGCTCCAGCCCTGGGTAATCACCAGCTGGGTCCCTGGTGTGTCCAGACCCCCATCTCACCTCACATCCAAACCTGCTGAGAAAATATTGGACTGCATCTTGAGCTGGGTAGGAGAGGATGGTCCTGCTCCATCTTAAGATTTCAAAACAATTCCCACTCTGTGTTTGCTAAAACCTCCTGGAATTTTTCAGCAGAAGGAGACAAGTCCACCCCAGGGTAGTCCAGAGCCTGGTGGTTAGCATGTGGTCTTGGGCAATCGGGTGAAGAGGATGAAATCCCAGCTCTGATGCCTGCAGAGTCGGCACCTGAATCTCCCGCATCCCTTCATCCCTTCAAATCCTGCCTTGTCCAAACCAGTCGCGTCCTGCGGGAGGTGCTGATTTTGATGAATCAACATTTTCCAGTGAAAAACGTGGCATTTGCAATTTCCCAACCAGTCCTAATTGAGAGCATTCAGAAAAAGCAAACAAACAAACCAGCAAACCAAACAATGGCAGAGGGCAGGAAACAAGCTGGGCATCTCCAAAGAACTGTCCTCACAGGAGCATCGCTGCCGGGACAGGAGTGCCAACAGATAAACAGCTCTGGGGTGGACACAGGAACCACCACACTCTGTTGTGGGAGCTTGACCTTGCTGCGAGTCACTGCTGGTCCCTTTGGTGCTGAACATGAGCAGGGTATCTCTGAAACACAAGATCATAGAATCATAGAACCATAGAATGGTTTGGGTTGGAAGAGACCTTAAAGCTCATCCAGTGCCAACCCCCCTGCCATCAGCAGGGACACCTTCCACTAGACCAGGTTGCTCAAAGCCTCATCCAACCTGGCCTTCAACACTTCCAGGGAGGAGCAGCCACAACTTCCTTGAGCAACCTGTTCCAGTGTCTCACCACCCTCACAGTGAAGAACTTCTTCCTAATATCTAATCTCAACCTCCCCTCTTTCAGTTTAAACCCATTTCCCCTTGTTCTGTCATTAACTGCCCTTATGAAAAGTCCTTCCCCAGCTTTCTTGTAGGCGATGCAGCTCTGATAATACAAATGAGGGTTCTAGACCACTCTGGTCTGTGTATGTCCTTAGCATGAGCCATGCGCCCCATTCCTAGAGAAGCCAGAGGTATCTCCACAGACTTTCCTACATCTCCCTTCTCCCAGCTGTTTCCATCACTGCTGTGCAGTTCCTGGAGAAGTGCTGGTACCAGTCTGGCAGTCAGTCACTCAAGGTTCCTCCTACACCACCTCTTTCACTAGTCAGAATTCCAACCTTTCCCATCAGGAGACCTGTACAATTTTGTCAGGTGGGTACAGATGGAAATCTCAGATTTGCACTAGAAAGTCTCAGTCTTGTCTCAGAAGAGCCTGCTTTCCATGGACCTTTGCCAATGAGTGCAGGATCTCTAGTCCTAGGAGATGCAGGACAAATCCAGGTGACTCCAACAAGCCTTGAGTTTTCAGCTGTGGAGGGGAGAACTTCCCCTGGACATGTTTTACCTCCAGACCATGCAAGCAGACCCAATGGCTGCATCTCTCCTCTGCCCTTGGGCTCAGGGTGGCATCACCTTGGGGCAGATAGATGTATGGGATTGCTGGAACTCCATTGAGTGCCTCAATATGATGGTGGCCTTACCATGAGCAATAGCTCTGCTTTTTTTTTTACTACAGTAACACCAGTCCTGATCTCATGAAGCACCAGGAGAATTGTTTCTAAGGAGTTTCCTAGAGACACCACCAGAGCTGTGAGGTTTGGTGGGAACCAAGTAGCTCAGAAACAGCAAACATCTTGCCATGTCTTTATAACCAAAAGATTTTGGCTCAGGGTTGCCTGCAAGCTCTGCTGCTAGGAGTATTTAATGGGGCACAGAGGAAGGGGTGATGGAGAGGAATGGAAGGGGGAGCAGCACTGTCAGAGCAGCACTGGTGCGGTGGCTGCAGGAGAGGGTCCCTGTCACAGGTTGTAGGATGCATCAAGGCAACCCACGGGCAGGAATGAGATGGCAGCTTCACAGAATCACAGAATGGTGGGGTTGGAAGAGACCTCAGGAGATCATCCAGTCCAACCCCCTTGCC